GGTTTTATGCAAAAGAAAAGCTATTGGGAATGCGCAGTTGTACTTTGAGTGTCTGAGAAATAGTTGCACAACCCCTAACCCCCACCATAGCCCCTAAACCAAATACTTAACCTTACTCCTAACTATAACGCCTTATTCCAACGCCTACAGAATTGGCCCAACAGGTGGGAATACATAACCAAACATTACCCAAAACAAATATATATATATATTTGCATGTCACTGCACGGGGTTACATTGGACGATTTGTTTAATTCCATCATTTGGCAGGCTGCATAGTGTGTATTTTGCATCCCCAACGGCGTCACATGTAAGACAGTTTCGAGTGCCATGCTCAAAACTGGCAGACCAAAAACCATTTAACACCAAAGTGCTGACATTATGTGGTTGTTAACTTTTTACAACAATTAGACCTGCCTGCAAACCTCCTTCTTCTTCTTCCTTATCTAACTTGCCAGTATCTTCCCAATTGACTATTTTTACCAACAGCAGCGCTTTTTAGTCATTACCAACCCACATATCCTGTCTTTCAGATAAATCCTTGCCTGCAAATCAGCAATGCTGCTCTCCTTCTATTTCCCGCCTTATTATTTTTCCTCCCTTCAACTCAAACAACCCGCTATTACAAACACACATGAAGCTATCGGCATAAATAAAAGTTTGCGAACTTTTGATCTTAGCCGAAATATCATTGGTGTAAAAGTTTGCGAACTTCTGATCATATACGAAATATCATTGCTGTAAAGAAGGAAGAGTAGCGGACCCAGAACCATGCCTTGAAGTACGCCAATCGTGATCGACTGAGGTGATGAGTAGCTTTTATCAACCACGAAATCCCGACGGCCTTGAATATGAAAAACCTCATGAAGATAAAATCATCTTTTCAAATTTCGAGATCAACACGCAGACACCTTGTCTGCCACCAGAAATTACATGATCATCAAGAGGTAGGAGGAATAAAAAAGCATCTTTTTTTGAGTGATAGAGCATGCATCTGCAGATTCCACATTATCGTTTAACGGAAACTTCCAAGACACACAGTCATGGTGATGGAGACTTATTTTCTCCTAATGGCCTAAAGACACTCCACACAAAATACTGAGGGCTGCATATAGTATACGCAGTCTGCGAGATTGCAGACGGCACAGGCCACATGCATCTTAGGAAAAGTTTCTAAGCAATGTCGCTTAGGTGGAATTCAGGCTTGTTGGAAGAAAGTGAAGCAGTGCTGAGACGGAATACACACCTCTGATCCAGATGTTTTAAAAATCGAAGATTGTCATTGGTCATTAAAAATGCGACAGACCCTGCAACCCGAATGCGTTATATGACGCCATGCACTGCTATCTGCGAACACACTTCGGAAGGTTATTTTTGATAATTATATAAGTCGACAGTCCAACTACCTTTTGTTAAGCCTAAGAACAGTTCCATCAACGGTAAATGTAACAACCCATTAAAGGTGAAACACATTTTGTTTGTGGTTTATTAACGAAGCCTTCCGTGTGATTCACAGGGTCCAACCTAACTACCCTAAGCGATTGGGTCAGCGCCTACTAGCAACGGTAAAGACAACTGCCATAAGGCTACGGAGGCCAGGTCTGTGCGCGCAGAAGAACCTTTTGCACGCTCCGCGTCTACCGTGGCCGAGGATCGATGAACTGTATGCAGGTCTCCTCGCCCCCGTCACCATCACTGTCACTAACCCCCTTCTCTCCTCCCCTCTCCTCCCCTCCCACCACTCTATTCACATACCCCGTTTGTATGAGAGGACGAACCGTAATCGATTGCCCTTATCACTCACATGTTTCAGTTTTGGCCTAGTTCCCATACAGACCCGTACAGGTCCAATGAAAAATAATTAGTTTCACTAATACTAACAGTGAAGGTTGCTCTCCTACCTTACATATGTATGCATACAATACATAAGCAGCCCACTAAGAGTGCCCCAGTCCAGAAGCAGACAGCTGTTTCACGGCCGTTACTGATCTTCAATTCGTCATATACATATCCATATCTTAGGGGGCGCTCACCGATCGCTCATACGGAACTCACTCGTTCCGTTGTGCCTTAAGGGCTCTCTCTCAAGCCCAACCAGCAGCCGCACAGCGGCGCATGATATATAGGCAGAATAATATTACCGGAACGAGTGAGTTCCGTATGAACGATCGGTGAGCGCCCCCTAACATTGTATATTCCCGATCGAAAACCGACAGGGCAACGGGCTCGTGAGCCGGTGGGTAGAGGCGTGGACTTCTAAACCAACAGGTCGCGAGTTCGAGGCTCGGGTGTTCCACACTTCGGGCTTCGGTATGGCTGGCTGACGACGGCTAATAAGCCAGAAATGACCATTCCATTCTCCCTTGTCTTTGTCGGTAATACCATTCTGCCTACATATCCATATAAATAATATCAAAGCAGATTATATTGCGTACATTGATGAAACGTGAGTAGTTTCGACCCAGTTTTGTTTCAGTGAGACCCCCTTTCTGGGCCTATTCAGCCAACCCACAGATTTCAATAGAACAGATATATTTTCAGCATACAACGGCTGTATTTGGCTGACCTGATAGCATATTTTGTGGCGAAGGTGAAGTTGGCGTTGCAAAGTTCCAGGACTGCGATAACAACACATTCTTTTGGTCAAAACATAGTAATTGACGCCACGTCAAAAACAAGTATCATGGTCGATATCTGAAGCTAAGCTAAAAAACGAGTAGACGGAAACACCCACACTTTGAAAATTCCATTTTTTAGTGGAAAATATTCCACAGGCGTCGTCCTACCGATTCTACGCTTGATTAAACACTTGAATTTCTCGCCGACCGAACGGTAGTTACATATATGCAGTTGGCTATTACTGGCTGATTTTAGCTCATAAGTCTGAAATGGTCCTTCTGGTATCCCTTGTTGTTGCTGGTAAGAGTAACATGCGATTGAGGGGCAGACTGTGAAACACAAATAATGGGGAGAGGGAAAGTAATGAAAACCTCTGGAAAAAATGTCTATAACATAAGTATCCGAGACCAATTTTCAGCTCTTTACCACCCCTCTGAGTCGCGCAAAGAGACGGGATAATCTGCAGTGTTCTACAGCAAATCATGGAAAAACCTTTATGTAAGCGGATGTCGCCGAAGCAGACAATCGCCATGGCACAAAGTTTCACAAACCGCATCTGTCAATCGACTGCCGAATTTTGCGGTCAATGACACGTACAACAGCAGAACCATAATTCACCTATGGAAAGGTGAGTGATATCGGCCAGTACAATCAATATTTAGACAGACATATGTTCGAATACTTCTTCTCGACCGACACATCAGTCGAGTCATATGCCGTCATACCGCCTACCAAGCATTACGTACATGGTTTGACTGCGATCGGGCGAGGCCAATTGTCAGTCAAACAAAGTCACGCGTGATTGAAATGATGAGCTCTGAACCTCGCGTTATGACACTAGCTTGATTTTTTCTTTATTGCATCATAATTCCTGATGTGTAGATCCACTGGATACCATCCGCGAAATAGCATCACATCAGTCTTTCACATCCGGTTATCCCAACAATTCTGTCCTCCCTTCTGCCTACTCAATAATTTGTCTGTAATATTACAATAAGCAACCACTCGGAGGTCGTGCAGGCCGATGATTCAGATGGTCGGGACATCACCACGCCAGCATCCGACGCGCATGATGAGATTTCAGCAACTAACGACTTGCATGTCGTGCAGAAGGAGACACGATCGCTGGGAAAAAAGCCTTATTCGCCTGACTCTTCGGATTCCTGCTCTAACCCATCATCAGAGACAAAAGCAGATACGAGTGGTTCATGCACAAGGGGCTGCAGTATTTATAGGATGCAGTCGCCATGCTACCACATAACTATAAATATCCTAGACTTCCCTGCACCCGTCTTGATCAGGGATCGTTGCCCTTGGTGTGATGACTGTTTGATGGCCGACGTTCGCGTTGTTAATTGCTGCAATTTCATCATGTGTGTAGAATGTTGGTGTAATGATTGCTCGACCATCTGATCCACCGACCCTGAAGTTGGAAACGGTGTTCATCTGCGATCTCCCCGCCTCATTAAATACTCCGCTTAGGCGAGATCTCAGCATC